ATGGGAAAATTCAGAGGTCTCTGGTAAATGTTAGTAACATTCCATTCACGTACATCTTCATAACTGCAATGTAAGTCATTAATAGTTTCTTATAGTGTAGAAGCTTCTAAATAAAACCCCATTCTAATGTGTTTCACCGACTGCTAAATGCATTGAAGTAGTTCGTGATGTATATATTAAACTTCTCACATCCCACATACTCGCAGGTTCATCCACAAAACTGAGGGAATTATTTTAGTGGTTTGTTAACATATTCCGATCTTTTTTTGAACTAGTTCTACCCTTATTGTTATGAGAGTTTTACTCTTGCTGCTTATCTTCTTCCCTGTGAAAGATAAACAGAACATAGGCTTTTACATGCCACTATTTTATCTTTTTCTTAAAGGGGTAAGATAATGCTTGTCTTTCTTAAGCTATGCATAAACAACATCAACTGATTCTAACATTATAAGAAATAACAGTTTGAGATACGCTGGAGGAACTCAGAAATCTTTAATTCTTGGAGATATTCAAGAGCCATGGACATGGTCCTGGACAACTGTCTCTAGGTGGCCCTGCTTGAGCAAGGGGGTTGGTCCAGATGACCTCCAGGGATCCCTTCCAAGCTCAACCATTTTGTGATTCTATGATTCCTTATGGTTTCCAGGAATATTTCCTACTATACTGCAGATGGCTTTCTTATTTACTAATTGATTATTTATTTATTGATTACTTGCCTTCCAAATTCAGAAAAAAAAGACTACTTTTTTTCCTGTTGGTTATAGCTAGATACCATTATTTCCAGGATTCCCTCCAACTAACTGACATGGATTGGTTACCAAATAGCTTTGGTTAATCTCAGTTTACTACCATTTTCTGACCTTAGAATGTCCATTGAATTCAAAGCATAATAAATTTGTCTTTTCCCCTCCGATTTGTAGCATACACCTGGCCTTAACAAGGACTCAGACATTACTAACAAAATGTTGGTTATCTCTGTTGAAAGGCTGTGTGTAAATATACAAAAGTACCCATACCACAGTAGAACACATTGTCACCAAGTGCTGTTACCGTGTGTAAACTGAAACATCCAATACACACACATTCTCAATATGCATTCTAATCCTTAACTGTTCATATAAAAGACAAAGTTGTTCACAAAGGCAAACTTCACGCCTACTTTGCGGCAAGCCCTTCCCATTTAGTCCTCATTTTTCCAACTCAAAACACTCATAACTCACTGCTTTCCACCTCATGTTATCTATTTTTCCATCCTCAGAAGAAAGGGGTAAAAACAGGTATATTCATGAGCAAGAGCCTCAGCTATATAGGAGATTTTAACTCTCTTTAAAAATGAAATGGGCCAGAAGGGGAAATACAAGGGCATACATTTGAAACACCATGGAACTTTTCTTACTTCTAATCAGCTGAGGAAGAAGGATGACAGCAATAAAGACAACAGCAATAAAGATGAGAGATCTTACAATCCAAGAAAATTAAACACGCACTAAGGAAATGCAGTATATTCCTGTATGTTGCTTCATAAACCAAAATGTTCCCTAAATAGTTGACTTAATAATTCAAAATCAACTTCAAAGACACACAACTGATTGGAGAAGCAAACGAAACCCCCGTTTCCCGCAGGGGCAGGCCTCTGTAAAATGGTGTACTTAATTCTCCAAGCTCCAACGCACTTAGACCATAACTATGGGAATCCTCTTCTCCAGTCTCTCAAAACTCATAAGATACTTTTAACATTGAGTGTGAAGACACTTTTGGTTTCTCAGATCCACTTGACTTCATTTAACTTCAAACATCTGGTTTTATGTGTCACTCTTCCCTGTTAAAATACTGAAGAATGAAAAGAGAGGGTTGCTGTAAAGAGCCATTGTACATTGTGATCATTTGCATGCTCAACTATTTGTTGAGCCTGGTGCCTGTCCCATACTGTTTCAAAACAAGATTAGTATGAAATGTAGCATTAGACTCATAGACTTTATGGACGCCCTTGTAGAATCAAAAGCACTGACTAGCCTGCTCAAAACAAGCATTAACACTGGAGAAGGTAGTTACAGGACCTTGTCATGGCTTTTGTAAAATCTACTACATGGGATGTTTGAGTTTTACTTTTAAAGTTCTAGACTTGTCTATTCATTGAAACCCCCTAAGACATTTGCTATGTGCAATCTGCATTCTGCCTTTGGGAGAAAAAGAAAACATTTATTTTCAAAATTACATCTTTTCTTTTTTCCCAAACTTTTCACATTTTTAATTTTGAATTTTTATATCATTCTAATACGTAAGAAATAATGACACAGAACAGATTTATTTGCTGAAATTATCTGAAAATCAGGAGTACAAAAAATGGAAACAAGCACATACAGCTAAGAATTTATCTGATGTAAGTGTTTAAATGATACAAGCAATAAGGCTAAAAAGCAAAATGAGTAACTATCAAAGAACAGAAAAAGCCACAAGAAAAGATACTATAAATACACTAGGAAAGGAGGACAATGTAAAATACAGAACTACTACATCAAAGAGAAGGAAAGCAAATAACAGACGATACAAAGAAACCCCAGTGTTCAATTCTTTCATTGCTTCAGTCTTTAGAAAAAAAAAATTAATTGTGGCTAGATGCTTAGCAGTAGTGATTTTAAGAGGAAAACCTGCCAGCCAGACGACAGAAAGCTGAAAGATATTCTGATGACTTAGGTATATTAAAGTTGGCAGAATCTTGTGAAATTCACTCTAGAGCACTTAAATGACTAGCTAAAGCAACCTCTAATCCATTAGCAACTGTCTTTCAGGAATGGAGAGGTCAGAAAGGGGCAAATACCATTATCTTTCTTCAGCAAAGAAAAAGGGAAGATGTGGGCAACTGCTAACTAGCCAGCCTAAATCTGACAGCAGCAAGAATATTTGACAAAATTGTAAAATAAACAATTTATCAACATCTAATGGAGAAGAAAGGTGATAAGAACCAGCCGACATGAACTTATCAAGAATGAATCACATCAAACCAGTCTAATTGCTTTCTCAACTGGGAAACTTGACTAGTGGATAAGAGGAGGAAGTGGATGTAAAATGCTTCAGCTATAATGAGAAATTGTTTACTGTCCTAGATGATACTCCAGTAAACAAATTAGAGAATTGCATTCTAGCTGAAATCACTGCAAGGTAGATAAACATCTGGTGGGAAAAAACACACTTACTGAGTAGCTTTCAAGGGCTGGTTGTCAGATCTGAAATGGAATCATGAAGAGGTCTGACAATATTTCCGTTAATGATCTGGATGAAGAAACAGAGAGCACATTCATGAAAATGAACTTAGTATCAGGATGCAAGTGATTTAAAGCACGCTGGGGGATAGGATTAAAATTCCATGTTATCTTGATAAATCGTCAGAAAACATCAAGTACTAACAAGAAATAGTGAAGAATGTTTCATTTGTGAAATAACTCTATGAAAGCTTGACTCCAAAAACACTGGCCAGGTACATTCACCTCCAGTCCAAGTGTAGGACCCAGAAGACTTGCAGTGTTTTGCACTTGAGTTAGAAAACCCTGTGGCAAAGAGAAGTACAGAATGCTGTAAACTGTATTTTAGGTATAAGGAAGACAGAACCTACGCAATATTCACAAGGAAAGACAAAGATGTAGGACTGAAGAGGCAATTTAGTCCTTTATTACTGAACCCTCACATCTGATTGGTTTGTATCTCCAGACAGGGAATAAATAACCCTTTCTGAAATTGAACAAAAAAACCTGTTTCTGTATTTATGTTAAGTTTGGTTACAAGTCTCTAAAGGAGAAAGTCTGGAAAATGACACTCACACCCATCACAGTAACATGGTCAGGCAGTGGAGGGTCTGCAAATGAGAGACCCCAATTAGAGGTGTATTAGCTCCTTAAAAGCAGATAGACCCATTTACTAGAAATGTATTTTGAAAAGAGCCCTGTAACTATACTGCTATATTTAATACAAATATGAAAATTGCTCAGAATATAATTGTTGTGATAAACCTAAAACATTTGGGAGAGGGGGAATTTGGGCAAAATAGTTTGGGGTATTTGAAAAAATGTGGAAAAATGATGAATCTCAAAATTCTCCACAAAACAGATCTTCCTTTCTTCATTCATCTCTGCTTCTGACCTCACCATCTGCAATTTCTCCAGTGAATCAATAAGTGCCATGGATAAAATTTAAAGAGAGGAAAAAGAAAACATTCCTCATTCAAATGTCTTCCAGACCATGTCATACTTGGTTTTCATGTGCCATGTCAGAGAATACTTTTCATACTTTGATAATTGTTAGTAGTACATTGATGGGCACAAACACTTCAGAAATCTCTTCTACAGGAAAAAAAAAATTAAAAAAAAAGAAAAGCTATTTCTCACCATATCTAGTAATTCTCAGAGCTACTCCTTACTTAAGCATGCTATTTTTAAACACTGGTCCTGTTTGTCTACGTCTTTTAAGGGATAATACTTGGGTTTTGTTATGAAATAATCAGCTACCATGTTTTTGAGTATTTATTTGAGGTGCTTTAAAATATTTATTTGAATTGCTTTTGAAAACTGGAAGGAATTAATTGGGGTCAAGGGTATAAAATACCTAATTTTCAATGACAGGCCTGATCTCCATCAATGAGGTTAAGGTTTCACAAAGGTTAATCCAATCTTACTGCTACCACCCAAAGGAGCAGTCTCACTGCTGCATGTTCCCACCATTTTCTTTAAAACAGCCTCTTGTGTTGATCTCTTTATGAGCTAATTCAGCTCACTAAACTGTCAGAAAACTAATTTAACAAAAAAGGAGGTGCAGGGGAAGTAGTTTCAGTCAGCAGGAGAGCTGCTAAATTATCTCAGACATTCTGTAAACGTCATCAACAGGAATGTAACTGCTGATGTCCACGAACTTGGCCTTCATTGAATAAAAGACCACCTTCTTGGTATATACTTCCAAATTACAATTCAGGCTGCACGGTTACATTAAAAAACTAAAATCAAACAACTTACTGTGAGATAGATTCTCAAGGGCTTTTCCAAGCTTTTTGCTCTCTTGAAGAATATGATTTAGTTCATCAAAATCATGGTTCTCCGGTTTTGTCCTCCAATCCCATTTAGGATGTTCTATTGACCTTGGCACTAAATATACACAGATATATAGATGAAGTTTAGATTTGGTCGTTCAGACTCCTACAGTAGAAAAAAAGCTGCACAACGAGTTTACAAGCTCAAGTACCTTGAGTGGAAATTACTTAACTATCCTCCTATTTTAACAGCTGGAAATATTTTCTTTGGTCAATGTGAAGTAAAAATGAAAAATGCATGAGCAAATGCATACTTGGGATGATTCTTGTGACTGAATTAATTGGTAAACAGGAATAATTAATATGAACAATTAATAATAATAATAATGCAATAACAGAAGAATATAATCAAATATTGCATATGAAGATAGTTCATTTACATCAAAAAAGAATTGTATGTCCTAGGGGCCAATAAGAAAAAAAAGTCAAAATGAAAATGAGTCTGGTACTTTTGGCTTTGCTAGTTATTTTATCAAAAAGAAAAAAATATTTCAGATAAACATTTTAAAGCAACATGTATATATAATTCCTTTAAAAAAAAACAAAACAGAGTAGATAAAACATTTTATAAAAAGAGTGAAACAAAATACATCCCCACTGTTTATGCTGTACAGCCTATAATCTTTATTCCAATACTTAAACAAACTCAATCTTTGGGAAACAGTCCTGAGCTTACAGTCTTCTACTATTATCTGTTACCAAAACCTTTGATTTAATTTTAAAATCACAGTTTCTCAACTGTTGAGCTAACTTTACCTACAATTGCAGGGAAGAAGAGAAGGAGTTTCTGAGATATACAGGATACAAAGTGAATAGAGTCCCGTTGACCAATGTGAACATTTTGAACAATCTTTAGAAATGCCAGTGTTCTGAACTAAGCAATCTTCTGCCTTCAACATCAAATACAATTGTTGGGTTGTCTCCAAACACAGCATTACTGTGCTAAGAACTGTACATGCTGGTGTGAAGAGGATGATGCCTTGTCCACATTCCCAACAGAAAGGATCAGTTGCATTTACCAATGGTTGCTAACTACTCACTTAAAAATAACTTCAAAAATAGAGTCTATAATGTCCAATATATTCTGTCCAGCTTTTAAATTTTTATTTACTATCTTGACAGCTGTCAACTAATTTATTCTTACAAACTTCATTTTCAGTACATGCTAAGAAGGAAACTTGCAGACTTCTACAGATCTTGCAAAAAAAATAAATTGGTATCTTGTGACCATTTGAAATTTGAGAGTGCTTTTATTATGGTATGGGGAAATTATGGTCAGACTTCAAGTTCTGGTAGCTATTACAAAATGTGTTAAATAACTGTTGCTATTGTAATTTGCCTTATTGCTGACTGCTCTGTATGAATACAGAAACTGCTCCACTTTGGATCAACTCCACAAGGGAAAGTTGAAGTTAAGTCAATAGCCATCTTTTCCAGGTAAAGGAATGGGATAATGGTATGTTTAAGTCCTTCTGTCACAAAGAATGTGATTCCATCTCCTGTAGACATAAACCAAGCCATCTTCAAGCCAGACATCTATACAGAGTCTGACAACTCGGAGGATATTCTGATCTGTAACACCCACTCTGGAACATGGGTAAATATTAGGGATGTTAATAAATCAGACTGCAATCATAGACATTCTCAAACACAGAAGACAAAGGAGACATTAAAAAGAACCTACAGAGACAAGAGGAGAAGGAAAGAGACACAGGAAGTCTCAAGGAGAAGGGAAGAGAGGGGCAAGTTGGAGTGTCAGAGTCCAGTTCTGCTTTGTGTTCAAAAATACAAGTCATGTATTTCCTTCTGAGGACAATGGAAATAATGAGCTATGGTGGTTCCTAGTGAACAGGTACAGGCCTTAAGATATTAGGTATGACTAGCCTCTAGTCAGATGGACAGCTTATAATTTTTGTTAATACTTCTAAATACCAATCATTTAATCTACAATTCCTGGTTTAGGAACCACTATAATCATTAAAAGTTATGTAAATTTTTGTGTGACCAAAAATTGTCTCCATTTATAGACCCTAGCATAATTAACTTAAATAGCACAACTTCAGTATTTTTCATACTTTTTCTTACAAAAAAAACCCAAAAGGTTCCATCTAGTATTTTTTGTAAAATTTTACTAACTGTAAACATAAATATTTAGTCAACTAGAAAATAAATTCCATAATGAGGTCTCTCAATTTTCACTCATCTTTGTTTTATATCGAGATCACATATTCCTTTGCTACGTGCTTTTTCAGCCATCTCATCTTCTCCCTTCAGTCTACCAACACTACGTTCTACAGCAGCACTCACTCTAGTCTACTAGAAGTTGGATAGAATTTTCCTTCCCTGTTTATACTGAACTCACCACACCACAGAAATCTCACAGTACCACCACAATACAAACAGACAATAATTTAATATCTTAAAACCATATAGAAATAATGACCAAACCTTAGAGCTTCCAGGTTGCAGAATATTTCAAGATGGAATTTGGTATCATGTCAATTTGAATCAAACCACCTTTTTCAAAATACCAAAGGACATTTTGAGAAACAACATGATTCTGAAATAAAATTTGTCGTGGGACAGAAGCTGAATGAAACAAGCATAAGTTCTACTCAACAGCTGTGGAGCTTCCAGCATCAGCAACTGCTCATTATATGGACCAACCTGCATCAGGAAAATGAGAGTATCAAGATGCTATCCTTGGAAAGTAGGAAAACCTGCTCAGGAGACAATGGTCTGCTCCCTAGTTGCAGAGAAATGTTCCACAAACACAGGAAGCTTGGACTGTATCTCACTAGCTGGATGATGGGAAACCAGTCAAAAACACGGTGGAAATTTGCTCTGCATGCTGGTATACTACAGTCTACCATTTTGTACTCCAGTGAAAATGTATCAAAACAGATATACTGTCATGGAACATTTCCAAATTTCAACAGAATTTCTTTCAACAATGAGTTTGGCTCATTCTATTAAACCAAAACTGAGTGGGAAGTAGAATTAGAACTGACTGAAATTTTTACTATTTCTAGAGAGACGGTTCTTCTTACTTACTTACTCTTCCAAATAATGAATGGATACTAAAACTAAAATCTATTTCATTACATTATGTGGCATGTGTCTCTCCTTCCAGGGTCCATTTTCTGCTTGCTTACAAATGTTTTTAAAATATAAACTTGTATCTTTCCAACTGTAGGATCAACAAGCACTGGTCATTTTCAAATGGGTGGCTTTGTGTGAAGTATGCAGAACTGTATAAAGACCATATGACCCTTCCTTTACATCTTTCAAATACATGATCTTCTTCTGTATGAATGAAGTCCATAATATATCATTTCCATGCATATGTCACTACATACTTAGTAAAATCCTTTCCTAATATTCTGACCTTCCTTATTTTATTATGCTTCACTCAATCCTCAAAATCTTTGTATCAGTAATTTTAAATCCCCCATCACATTACCTGCCTCAAGATCATCTCTGTTATTTGAGAGATTTATATAACACTTCCTCTTGAAATAATTTCCCCACAATTCAGAAGATTTATTACATCTACACCATACCATTTGTATAGAAATATCTAGGTGTCAGAGAGGGATCACTCACAAATTATGGTCATAGGCAAAACAGACTCGACTTGGGGGAAAAAATTAATTTAATTTGTTACCGATCAAATCAGAATAGGACAATGAGAAATAGAACCACATCCTTCCCCCCACCCCTCTCTTCTTCCCAAGCAAAAAAACTCTAAAAAAAATCAAAAACAAAAAAACCCCACACACATAAAAAAACCTTTGCTCCCAATTTCTCTACCTTCTCCCCACCAGCAGCACAGGGGGACAGAGAATGGGTGTTGTGGTCAGTTCATTACACAT